CGGGTGCAAGCCGTCGAGAATATCGCCCTCCGTTGCGCGACGGGGGCCCCTTGGTTCGTCCGCAACAGCGACATTCGCCGGGATCTGGGATTCACCTCAGCCCTGGAAGCGATCAGAGAGCGCGCGAGAAAGCTTTTCGAGCGCGCCGAGATCCACAGCAACCCGCTGATCCGGAACGCGGTGGACTACCGACCCGAAGAGGCTGCCGGCAGACGCAGGCGGCCTAGACATCAACTCCTGGACGCAGGGTGAGTCGAAATTTTTCTGTCTGTTTCAGGACCGCCAGGATCAAGAGACGAAAACGACGACACACACACACACACATTCCCCCCTACCTTCCTTATCCCACTCTCCCCTCCCGCGCTAGCCTAAGGGCCACCTTAGCAAAGCGCTTCCTAAGCTGCATAGCTGCACGACCTCACTCAAAACCACCACCCCGGTCGCAAACGACAGTCGTCGTTTGCGACCGATACACGACACCCCCGGGGGTATACACAGACGAGCCGGCGAAGAAAGAAGAGCGCCAGAAGAAAGGGCCCTAGCCGGCGGGGCCCAGCCAGGACAGGAGGAGGCCCCACGAACCGATCCAATCCGGCCGCGTTGGCGGTCCGGAATGACGGGGAAAGGGCCTACCTCTACGAGGCGTCCGGGCCTACAGCGATGAAGTGGGTAAAGAGCGATAATCCCGCTCGACCCCGCTCCATCCGAGGTCATTTTTCCTGCCAAGGATATTGGCGCGCGATGTCAAATACAGTTACTTTTTAGTACTTAGAGTAATCGTTACTTTTATCTTGAGTACTTTGTATTCGTTACTGAGTACAGTTACATGTATAGTCCGGCCGGCACGATATGCGGCTTTGTTTCTACGTCGAGCACACCCTCGAAATACCCTACATGGTCAATATTAGCAAAAAAACTTTTATCCATCGTGGCTACATCTGTTCCAAGTTAACGTATATTCTCTAAAGCAGGTCAAATAATAACAGAACTGCGCGCGGCGCAATAATAGATTATTAAAATCCATATATGTAAATAAAATAATTTTTCTAAACTGCAACGATTTTTTGTTTATTCATAAAACTTTGTAGTAGTAGGCATTCGCAAAAAATAGTAAATAGTTTTGAATTAATAAATTACGTTATTTGTTATTTTGGATATTTATTTTTTCGTTAGGTACCTATTTCTATTTTTATAAGACTAATTTCTATAAGACAAGAGTAGAATATATATTTTTTTGTGTTTAAAATAAATAAATTTAGAAAATAATTATTTATTTAAATGTTAATAAATATATAAATAATTCAAGTTTTTTATGTTTGTATATCATTTACTTTCTTGAGGTGCATAGGTATCTACTGCATCTACTATCTATACTGCAGCAAACTAGGAATTAAATAATTACCTTGATTAATTACTGATTAAATATATTTCACAGCTGTTTAATTAAATGTCAACAAAAAGGTATTTCATCTTAAGTAACAATATTATAGGTTGATGACTACGTGACTACTTTTTCCTTGCGATACCCGTCGAACGAGTACATGATAAATATTCCGAGACCCGATACAAAATATTGTATCTATGAGTATTAGACGCTTCAGTAAAATATAATACCAAATCTGAAATCCACGCGTTCAGTACGTTCAGTAAATATTCCGAACCGAGTCCGAGTATTACCGATTATCGTGATTACATGTATCGAAACTTGGAGAAGAATATCTACTTAAAAAGTAATCAGTATCGAATACTTTTCTCATCGATTATTCAATATTCGTTACTTATTCAAGTAACGGATATAAAGTAACGAATAATTACAATATTGACATGACTAAAACACATGGATCGCTCCGTTCGTCGGTTGTCTCACCTATAACGCATTGATGAGGACTAATAAGTCCGAAACCGGTCTGTGCCTGGTGGGTTAAACTGATGATGATGAATGATCCTAGATATTGCAGTAGGTGTTACAAGTATAACTAAATGCCGGTCGGTGCATATAGCCCGTGGAGTAGTTGTTTCTCTCAACACTAGCAATTTAGAAAAATGTGTTTTTGAAATTTGATGTCTTCATCATATTGCTTTGTTTAACTTTTTTCAGCTTAATTATTATAATTATGTTCTTATTATAAAAAAAATACACTTGAATAAGACATATCTTATTGTACTTTGTTCCCTGTATACAAAATAAAAGTTTTGATAACGTAAGACTTATTCATTTATTAAGCAAAAACTTTTATCAAGAATGCCATTTTTCGTATCTTGCAACATAAGGTAAGGCAACCCTTACGCAAAACTACATTTTTGTATTTTTGTACAACAAAATTGAAAAGCTTTTATCAATAATGTCTTTTTTTCGTACTTTTTATTTTTTGGTCCATTTGTCCTCTTATAAACTCAATCCGCGGATATGTCTATTTGAATAATATTAATAAATTTTTATTTTCTCTTTTTGATTTAGTTAATACAATACATACAGGGTGACATAGAAAAAAGTACATTGCATAGTGCCACACAATAGAGGACACTAAAATAAGAAAAAAAGTTCCTATGAACATGGGTCTGCAAGGCCTTCGGTTAAAAGATACGGGGTGTTGAATTTTATTTTTGTTTGGGTTTTTTTTTTTAATATCTTTAGCCAGGGACGCAAGAAATGGATAAAATGTGGTATACAGGTGTTTTTTTATCATGCTAAATTCAAATATGATCTTAGTTTTGCGATTACTGATAGAGGGCGCTACATACAGGGTTCCATATTTATTGAATCGGTCCTAACTTTTTTGCTATACACTGTATGTCATTTTCGACTGAAAAAAATTTGTTATCCCTTCTTTATACGTAAGAAAGGTATACCTTGTCCAAGTCGCTAGAAGCAATGGTTCCAGTACAAAAGCCGACAATGCACGCAAATTATTCAAAAAGCGCCAAAGTAACATTTGCAAAAACAATGATAAATAACAATTAAATAATGTGTCATAATGACACTTGTCAAACTAATATAATAATTGTTAGAGGTATTTTGTGTTCTTGATTAAGTTTTTCATTGGTTTTCTCACTGATTATTCAAAATTGCTTTCAAAAATGGTTCGCTACACTTTTGAAGAATACAGGGACATGATTATGTGTTACGGCGAAGCTAGATCAAATTCTTACGAAGCTCAACGTATCTATCGAGAAAGATATCCTTTAAGACAAGTTCCTAATGTTCGAACATTTATTGATGTGCATAGGCGTTTGGGAGAAGATGGCTGTTTTAGAAAACCAAAATTGAATAGTGGGGTTTCCAGAACTCGTCGCACTGTGCGAAACGAAGAAACTGTTTTACGAATGGTAGAAAATAATCCGAGAACAAGCACCAGGAAAACAAGTTCAGCGGTGCGAAACCTTAACCGTGAATCAGTTAGACAAATTTTCAAAGAACAACTTCTTCGCCCATATCATTTCCAAAAAATTCATTCACTATTGGAACATGACTTTGTTCCTCGTGTACAATTTTGCGAATGGTTTCAAAACCAAAGAGAAAACATTATTTCATCAATTTTGTTTACTGACGAAGCTAGTTTTAGTCGTGATGGTATTCTGAACCTACATAACATGCACCATTGGAGTGATGAAAATCCTCATCAAACTATAATTCGGAGTCACCAATATGGGTTTTCTATTAATGTGTGGGCAGGTATAATCGACAATTACTTAATTGGCCCATTTCGATTGCCCAATCGATTGACAGGTGCACTGTATCGAAATTTCTTGGAGAATGATTTAAACACATTATTAGAGGATGTCCCATTGGCCATTATTGGAAGAATGTATTACATGCATGATGGGGCGCCAGCTCACTTTTCTCGAGTGGCAAGGGAATATTTGGACAGGAGATTTGGAAATAGGTGGATTGGTCGAAGGGGGCCTGTACCCTGGCCAGCTCGTAGTCCCGACCTTAATCCCCTCGATTTTTCATTTTGGGGATTTATGAAAAATGAAGTTTATGCTGTAGAAATACATAATGAAGAACAATTATGGATAAGAATTATGGAATCGGCAGATAGATTTCATAATAACCTAGGAATATTTCAAAGATGCCGTCAATCATTAAGAAGAAGAATGGAAAAATGTATTGAAGTACAAGGGCAACAATTTGAACATCTTCTAAAAACTTAATGTTTTGTTTTAATTAATCATATTTTTCATCATACCATTAAAATTTAATTGTTGAAGTATTTATCATTGTTTTTGCAAATAAAAAAAAATTAAAATTCAACACCCCGTATCCTTTAACCGAAGGCCTTGCGGACCCATGTTCATAGGAACTTTTTTTCTTGTTTTAGTGTCCTCTATTGTATGACACTATGCAATGTACTTTTTTCTATGTCACCCTGTAGTTTAAAAAACGTTTGAATAAACTACAATAATTGATAAATTAATTAAATAGTAATTATTAAATAATATGAGTCAAATTGTCCATGAATAACTATGTCCAGAACAATATTGAATAAAGAATATTTACAAGTAATTTATTGAAAACGGTTTTAAAGTACAATGCAATATTCTTGAAAACGGTACGTTCTATCGAAAAAATGGGAGAATATTTTTTGGAATTTACCCTACTCTCACAGAAATTTATTATTTTTGGGGAAATTTTGGTAGTGTAGTTCTTATAAAAGATGCTAAATTATCCTGTTTATCATCACCTTATTCAAATTCTGCAAACTTATTATATCCTGTGCCAAATTTAAATTGATTTGGTCAACACGTTTGAAAGATACAAACAAAAACAATTCTTTTACTTTACTTTGGTACCCTATATCTCGGAAACAAAGCGTTTGTTGAGTTAACAGGTTTTTTTTGTTTTATTCTTTTGCTTTCTATATTCTGTTAACAGCCTGTACAATGATTGAGAACTTATTCTTAGACAAGCTCAAGTCTATATATGTAAAAGTCGAATGTAACTGAATAACTGTGTTGCGTTTTCTGATAGTACTAGTATATTTGCAAGGGGTCCTTACCTTATGCTTTCCACAGCTCGTCCCAGGTGCGGCTGGCTTTAACAGCGTCGTGCAGGTGTCATTGATGGAGCACCACAGCCGGGAGCAGATCTCATCTAGAGGGGAGCATACCGTGGCGTCGCTACCAAATTGGAAACGGCACTGGTAATCCCCGTTGTACATCGCCCCGGCTGGCAATTCCGGGTATTCGTACTCCTCCAACTCCCTGGGTGGGTCTTGAAGGCACTTGCCTGAGCCCTTGCTGAAAAATAAATGGAAATTTCAATCTTCCGAATACACATGGGCGAGGGAGAGCTTTTAAATAACACGAATTGTTTAATAACATTGTTATAAGAGCGTTTGCATTAATTGTTTGTGTCCAATTTCATGTCATATAAATGTGGGATCTTAAGACAGCCATTGCCCAGCTTGTCAAAAATTTTAAAAAAATCAGTTTTTAAAATGAAAAAAAAAAAACAGTTTTTAAAATGAGAAAAAATCAATTTTTAATTTTTAACTTCTAAACCGCATGAGATAATTTAACCAAATTCAGTGTGCACATTTAGTATGCCAGCAAAAAATTACCAGCTTTAAAAACTTACCAGTGGCGGAGGTGTGCCGCCACTGGTAAGCGATCATTATTTGCCAAAAAAATATATCACCCTGTATAATATACTAATAAAATAGGTCATCATATGCTTCATTGTATTATCGTAATTTTTTGTTGCTTTACACTTTTTTCTATTCTAAACCGATTAACAACTTTGATCAAGTGCATTTTTACAGTTACTTAAATTACTTATCTTAATTAATATTGTGTATTGTCAAATTAAGCTCATTTTTTTTTAAAGGTTAAGTTTTAATAGTGGCTTATACACATTCAAATTCTGAAATGACCAATACTGTTTACATTTATGTCCTTGCAGATGGAAATGGTACTGAGCCTAGGCCTAGATTTCCAAATTATCCAACTCCAAATCCAAGAATGTGCAGAAATGTTTTTCAACGTATTTTGGAGTCAGGCTCATTTTAGAAAGGTCCAATTCCTGGAAGACCTTTGAGTGTTAGAATGCCTGACTTGGAAGAAGCTATTCTACATGAAATTGAAGAAGACCTAAATACTAGTATTAGGAAGATCGCTGCAAATCTTGATGTGAATTATAAATTAGTGTGGTCCGTTGTGAAGCATCAACCGTTATACCCGTATTACATATAAAGGGTTCAAGCCTTACTGCCGCAAGACTATCCTGCCCGCCTACAATTTTGCCAGTGGATTTTGCAAAAAATTGAATACAATGTTGACTTTACCGCTGGCATAATGTTTACCGACGAAGCTAATTTTTCCAGAGACGCTATAATGAACTTCCACAATAAACACGTTTGGTCTGATGAAAACCCTCATGGCATAATGGAATCTCGACGTCAACATCAGTTTTCTATTGTAGGTATTATTGGAAATTTTCTTGTAGGACCTTATTTACTTAGTTGACGATGTTGCCCATGCGCTAAGAGAAAGAATGTGGTTTATGAACGACCCACATTTTAGTTTGACTGCTCGTGCATTTTTAAATGAAAGATTCAGTAATAACGTATTGAACGAGACACTCAAGAACTAGATCAACCTTGGCCACCCAGATCACCCGATATGAACCCTATTGATTTTTTTGTTTGGGAACATCTCAAGACATTAGTTTAGAAGGTTCACACTTAATCTGAACAGCACTTACGTCAATAAATTATAGCTAGTTGTTATGTGATAAGAGCTACTTCTGGAATTTTTATATTTGTTTGAGCTGCAATTTCAATAAGATCTGAAGCCATGTATTTTGGCTGAAGGTGGCCATTTCCAACATTTGTTATAATAAATCATAGTATAGTAATTCCATAGTTAATTAATTATTTTGTTATTTTTTTAAGTACCTAATGTAATGAATCTCGTAAAAATGCACTTGATCAAATAAATTTTTATTGTTAATCGGTTTGGAATACAAAAATGTGTAAAGGAATAAAAAGTGAAGATAATATAATGGCAGTGGTAACGATGACCTATTTTATTTGTAATATTATACATATGGTGATATATTTTTTTGACAAATAATGATCGATGATACACACACCTCCGCCATTGCTGGTTTCTAAAGCTGGTAATTTTTTGTTTCATACCTACTGTCATACTAAATACGCACAGCGAATTTGGTTAAATTATGTCAAGCAGTTTAGAAATTAAAACTTAAAAACTGTTTTTTTAATTTTTGACAACCTGGACAATGGCTGTCCTAATACCCACATATTTTGTATAACAAAAAACCCTTATTTTTGGCCACAGAATACACCCTTGGATTTTTGAACTCTACTTAAGATACACCCTGTATACCTATTACTTTTATTAATGAAATAATATATTCTGCAATATGTGGTACGAGATTGCTACACGAAAAGGTAAATATTTAATTGCAAAACAACCTACATCGATTTATATGAAAAAAAATCAGAAGTTTTAACGAGCTAACGTTTCCTAAGTACATGTTGAACAGTCATGGTCATTAGTCGTCTCAAGTCAAGCTCTATAACAATACGCTTCTTGAATGAAGCTTGATAACATCGGAAAGTAAATTGTTTCACACAATCTCCGATGGCCGGATACAGATTAAGAATGTCGCTTGGAGTATCATGGTAAAAGCAGAAACCTACATTTGTAAGAGAAAAACCAGAGTTAATAATCATTGTATTTATTTTCTATTTCTTAATTGAAAATTACATTAATGCCATCTTTGATACATCATTTCAATTCTATGCAGCTTGAAAAAATATGTTAGTTAATAGAAAATCTGGCCATCTTTAAAAAAAGTGAAGATATCAAGACGAGGTTCTGACCTCTTTTCAAAAACTGACATAAAAATCCTTTAAGCACTTCTTTTCTTTCGGAAAATAAGAGAATTGTACCGAAAATGTCGAAATTTTCCCCTACATAATTTATTTAAATTACCTTGTTAATTTATCGTAATAAAGGAAACGTTCTAATTTCATGAAACAAGCCACTCACTTTTTGGAGGTAGACTTGGACAAGATTTAAACATGGTTGAGACTGCTAACACAGCCCTACTATATCTTATTCCGTTATTGTCACTCCGGGCAGGGATATTTATATTCTTGCCACCTCTCATAGCCGAAGTTAGCCCAAATCTCCGAAATTAATTACTCTGTCTAGTCTGAGTAATGCCCACCTATCACGAAAGATTAATTTCGTGTGAAATAATAAATATAAAACACCGACTTTTATTAAAAAAAAAACTCGACGGTGGCCCCGACGACAGCCAGCCGGTGATTATTAACCTGCAGATGTTTAATAATCCAGATTTTGAAGAACAGTTTTAATAAAATGAAATACGGAGTGCATTTGTTACTTCGCTTTCGTGCGGTGGCAGATTTATTGTCCTGGCTGGCGTATTTCACATTTTATTTTGGAATATCTATGAAAATGTCGTCAAATAGTTAAGTGGCATTTAAAAAGATTTTCTCAAGTTTTGAATGAGACGTTCTGCAGATTGTGGTGGCGAACAAGGTTAATATATTACGACAAACTCTTAAAACTGATTTTTCTCGTCAAATTAAATATCGAGACAAGCATTTTTCCCGCAGACTCTACGGTTCTTCAAAGACTAGACATGTTAGGAGTAGTTTGGTGGCTTACAACTACCAAATTGTGCTGTGATGCCGCAAGTGACCCATTTTTTAAGTACAACGTCAATAGCGCCATCCTGACGCCATCTGGGACGCAACAGGGTTCCAAAAAAGGTCGACGGCAGATTGGCGCCAAGGAACAAGTACTTCTGCGAACGACTCCACACCACGAGGACGGACTCTCCAGCAAACGCTCAAACCGACAACACGTCTTTTTCCATAAATTTAGTTTTCAATAAAAATAGTTTATTTCCACCGTTGAGAGAGCGTTTTATTTTTGTTGTACAGCGAAAGCAACCCTCAAGTGGTAAACTTAGTTTTCAATAAAAAATAGTTTATTTCTACCGTTGAGAGAGCGTTTTATTTTTGCTGTACAGCGAAAGCAACCATCAGTGCGTTACTTGTAGAAGTGCTCCTAGTCATGCGATAAAATTCAAGTTGCACAACTTTACAACATATAACATGTTCTTGATCAATTTAAAAAAAATCATTGAATTTACAGACTTCATTCTTGATAGAATTTGAACAAAAAGTACCCAGTGACGCCAGAATTAGTAGTCTGAAGTCAATCAACTGTAAAAAAAAGGTATGTAATTTGAGGTGGTATTCACAATCGTCAGAATGACGACCTCTTGTCGGTGAATAGTTCGGCTGAATGTGCAAGTCATTATTCAGCAGTCAAGCTCCGCAGCGAATGGTCAAATGGCTTGAAACTTAATAACTTCGGAAGAAAATAGTACTCCTGACTATGAATACAAATTTTTGATGACCTAAGAATATATACACATCATTTCCAATCAAAACCTTTATGCCTCTTTATTTTTCTTTTGACAACAGGCCAGAAACAGCATACGAACGAAATAAAGTTAGATGGGTAGGATCAACTTCTCCACATTTGCTTGTAGTTTTTGAGAAATTTAAGCAAAATAACTGAATTTTATCTTTAATATCTGCTTACGAGCTCTTAACATTACTATGGTTTCAAGACTTTTAATATTGAGCAGTGCAAAGTATGAGATAAACTCAAAAAATACAAAAGCTTTTATTGAAAATGGTCTATACAAACTTATAAAGAAAGGAAATTTGATTTCATATTCCTCAGATCTTTCAGAAAACTTTCTCACAGTAGGGGGATGAATATCAAAATGTAATGCCTCAAGATAAAAGAATAAAATATGCCATAGTAATAAAAGAGTAGCACCTTTTTATATGGAACAACTTTCAGTCTGTAAAGAGCATAGCATACCGGAGTTAATTTTTTACACAATTTTGAAATATGTTTACTCCGATATAGAACACTGTCCATATAAACATTGGTTCGACTTTTGCAGTTTCAACCATGCTGATTATTGAAAATCCTCATTATTTGTACTTTCCACTTACCGTTAAAAAAATCATCTCCAAGTTTCTAAACCCCCTGTATAACCATATTCAAATCTCTACTATAAGTTCTGTAGATAGTCGTTATTATTATGTTGGTTTCCAGTTATGTACATTTAATTTAATTAATGTTAAATTGATGTTAACATGTTAAACAGGGAACTAGCTTTAATGTGAAGCATCCTCGTAGATTATCTCCGT